GGGCGGGGGCGACGGGGGTTCCCGGCGGGGCCTGCACGAGGAGGCTCCGGCGCCTGCCCTAGTAAATCTTGCCCCGGCGTAGAAAACATTGGTCCGACGAGGAAAAGTTGAGACTAGATCCCGTTGAAAACTTGGCCTGAAATCTCCATCACGCCTGAGTTATTGTCCCCACCACCGTCCAGAGGTTACCGCTCCCCGTCCGACGTCGGGAGCCCCAGGGCTGGCCGTGGGTGCTGCGCCCTGTCTGTTGGGATCACGAAGCTGCACCTCTGGGTCCGCTGTTGTATTTGGAAATTAGCAGCAGCATTTTGATGGTTTTTCTCCTCACCTTCCAGTCTCTCCATTTACGAGGTCACAGTGAGTCCCGTCTCAAGGACACGTGTTCACCATGGGCTTAAACTTGATGAAAGGAGCAGGGAGGAGTCGTTTATAGGTCATTGGGTGATGCTTGGTCTTTTGATTACCTGGGTGTACCAGGGGACCCCTGCCACTTTGAACCGGGTTCCGTCTACCTGTAGGCAACTGAGAAAAATCGGTGATGGAAAAGCTCACCTCTAATGATTCATCCCCATGTCTCCTATTAAAATTGTTGGCGGAGTTCCTTCCTGGTGGATTGGAACGGCTTGGTGATTGCTGAGCATCTCCCGTCCCTCTCTTTTCCAGTTTGTATTTCTTATCTGGGAAGATTTTACCAGGACCTCAAAGACAGAGATGTCACATTCTCACCAGCCACTATTGAAAACGAGCTTATAAAGTTCTGCCGAGAAGCAAGAGGCAAAGAGAATCGGTTGGTAAGTAGTTGGTGACCCTCCCCAACTGGCCCTGGCTCATGTTAACCCTTAGCTTCACTAGCCTTTCGATAAAAGGCCTTGCCCACCTCTCTATTCAGGAAGCCAGCTACTCTCCATAAACTAATGTGAGACTGAAGTGTTTCTATGTCCTTCCCAAAGCAGGCATGTATTCTGCAACTGTGATTTTTTTTTTAATCCTGTTAGTCTTTATTAAGCACCTACTATGTGCTGGGCACTGGGAGTATCAGGGGAAAGAAGTGACAGTCAGGCACACAAATAATGCAGTGTCTGGGTGTCATGATGAAAATGGACCAGTAGGTGCTGATTTAGAGTGGCCACGAAGTCTCTGAGGAAAGGTTATCATTGAAGTGAGATAAGAACATCCCATACAGGAAACAGCAGTGTGAGTGTCCAGAGGCCTGAACGAGTTTGGCATGTATGTGGACAGGAGAAGGTGACAGGGTGCCCACAGGATAGGCAAGGGCCAAATCAAGACAAGAGCCCTAGTGAAGCAATGGGTTTTCTAACTTTAATTTCCCTGGCAGTCTCTGGCTTATCTGTTAAAGGTTTGAACCCTGGTGACACTTAAACTCATTTGGTGGCTGCCAGCTTGGACTGAGCATGTGTTAAGAGTCCAGGGTTTACACTGACTGAATCTGACTACCAGTACAGGCAGGGCACTGAAAAATGCAGCTGTGGGCCAGGTGCGGTGGCTCATGCCTGTCATCCTAGCACTTTGGGAGGCCAAGGTGGGAGGATTGCTTGAGCTTAGGAGTTTGAGATCAGCCTGAGCAAAGTGGTGAAATCCCATCTCCACAAAAAAATGTTTAAGCCGGGCACGGTGGCTCACACCTGTAATCCCAGCACTTTGGGAGACCGAGGTGGGTGGATCACCTGAGGTCAGGAGTTCAAGACCAGCCTGGCCAACATGGCAAAACCCCGTCTCTACTAAAAAATACAAAAATTAGCCAGGCATGGTGGCAGGCGTCTCTAATCCCAGCTACTCAGGAGGCTGAAGCAGGGAGAATTGCTTGAACCTGGGAGGCAGAGGTTGCAGTGAGCCGAGATCATGCCACTACACTTCAGCCTGGGTGACAGAGCGAAACTGTGTCTCAAAAAAAAAAAAAGTTTTAATTAGCTGGATGTGGTGGCCCACACTGGTAGACCCAGCTACTAGGGTGGCTGAGTGGGAAGGATCACCACCCAACAGATTGAAGCTGCAGGGAGTCATGATCGTGCCACTGCATTCCAGCCTGGGCGACAGGGGGACCCTATCTCAAAAAAAAAAAGGCCCTACCAGAGAGATGATGTTTCGAGGTGTCAGTATGTTTGGAGGCGATGGCTCTCAAGCACCTCCTGAAGGCCACTGTCCTTTCTTGATGCAGTGCTACTATATCGGGGCCACAGATGATGCAGCCACCAAAATCATCAATGAGGTATCAAAGCCTCTGGCCCACCACATCCCTGTGGAGAAGATCTGTGAGAAGCTTAAGAAGAAGGACAGCCAGATCTGTGAGCTAAAGTATGGTGAGTACGCCTAGTCCTTACTTAATGAATGCTGTGCACCTTCTGGGTTTATTTCCCATCTGGGAGAGGAAAATGATGAGCTAGAGTCATGAGTGGATTGTATCGTTTGACAGATGGTGCTAAATGCTGGAGGGCTCTGGCATGGAAGTGGGTGGAGGTCAGAATAGGCCTTGTTGAATAGGTGATATTTCAGCAAACTTTGAAGGAGGTGAGGATTAGCCAAGAGGCCAACTAATGGAAGAGCATTCCAGGCAGAGGCTACAGGCAGGATAAAGGTGGCCAGTGGCATGGCAAGTCAGAGAGCATTGCAGGCTGGTGAGGGCTTTTAATCTGCGTGAAGTTAGGAGCATTAGGAGTTTTTGAGCAGAGAAGTGGCATGGTACGACTTGGTTTTAACAGGCTGGTTCTGGCTGCCAGCTCTGAAGCCCCAGTGATCTTTACTATTCTGAAAAGAAACGCTATGTCCAAGTATGCAAGCCCAAGAGTTAGGAACTACAGCATCTCTCTTGCTGACTGGGTCTCTGGTTGTACATAGTCCCAGTCTTCAGAAACAGGGCGTCTTCTGAAAAACTTGAATGGCCAAGGACCTGTGTTCGCCCACTTGGGTCTTCTGAGAGTCATCCTGGTACAGGTCCAGTTGGCTCCAGGTCACTGTGGTCATGGAGAGTAAGTTCCTCAAGGGCCTGAGCAGGGCTGCTCTTTGTCACCAGCCTGGAGCTGTTAGTCTGTGGTGACTATGTCAGAGGCCCTTGGAAGATGGGAACCATGTTTCTCTTGTAAGGACAGTGTGGCCTCTGTCCCTATCCTTGTCCACACTGCATATCTGTAGTAGACACAATATGTGGCCAGCCTTCCTGGTGAAGAGGCTAGTTCCCTCTTGTGGTGGCAGTAGGCACTGACATGCCTGTAAATGTGTCTGGAAATGTCTCTTCCTCTGAAACCAGTAGGGCTGGTTTGGCCATTCGGGGAGTGATATATTCTGGGACTACTGGGGGACTGCGGCTGCTCCACCCAGCCAGTGACTCTCCCTGCTCTCTCCTCCAGACAAGCAGATCGACCTGAGCACAGTGGACCTGAAGAAGCTCCGAGTTAAAGAGCTGAAGAAGATTCTGGATGACTGGGGGGAGACATGCAAAGGCTGTGCAGAAAAGTCTGACTACATCCGGAAGATAAATGAACTGATGCCTAAATATGCCCCCAAGGCAGCCAGTGCACGGACTGATTTGTAGTCTGCTCAATCTCTGTTGCACCTGAGGGGGAAAAAACAGTTCAACTGCTTGCTCCCAAAACAGCCTTTTTGTAATTTATTTTTTAAGTGGGTTCCTGACAATACTGTATCAGATGTGAAGCCTGGAGCTTTCCTGATGATGGTGGCCCTACAGTACCCCCATGAGGGGATTCCCTTCCTTCTGTTGCTGGTGTACTCTAGGACTTCAAAGTGTGTCTGGGATTTTTTTATTAAAGAAAAAAAATTTCTAGCTGTCTGTGGAGAATTATGGTGAATACTGAAATGGGGTTTTGCCCCAGAAGGTTCCTACCAGTTTATGCTTTCCAGTTGCAAAGTTTGGGGGGATATTCATTTCCATTTATCCCTCAACCCACCAGCGCTGAAAAGATCAGAGCAGGACATAGGGGCTAGGGCCCGCTGATGTGCCTGGGTGTGTGCCACTAGAGGGCAGCAGGCACCTCAGCAGAAAGGAGGTAGGGGGTGCTGGGCTTGATACCCTGCCCCTTGATACCGTATGTCTTAGCCACCCAAGAGAGCTGGAGGCCACAGCTTTAGGAGGAGTGAGTCTGGATACATTGGAGGGCCTTAAATTGTGGCTCAGTACAAGCAAGACAGGGTGTGTGGAGTGTGGTTTTCCGCAAGGATGTCTTCAATAACAGTGCATGTCAGCACTGACATCTCGATGCTGTTGGCCTGGCCACCTACTTGCTTTTTTGTCCATTCCAAGCCTCTGATGTCTATTCCAGTTTTTGCAAGACTAGCAGGAGTCAGCTTATACAAGGAGTGAGTGGGAAGCTGCCTTTTGCCTTTGTTTACCCTACATTAGTCAAACAGTTGAGGTCCAGGGTTTTTCTGGAGTCTGCTTCTTAAGCCATGCTCTGTGGCATTGGTGCTTAGGAAACCCAGTTGTTAGTGTGAGCTGTGGCTCAATGAAAACACCTGTAGAAACCACCTGAAAGGACGAACTAAGAACCAGTGCTTTCCAAGGAATTGCTCTTGCCTCAGATCACTTGTGTCTCCTAAGCTCAGTTTGCCAGTAGGAGGCCTTACAGGCTGCTGTGGAACCCGTTGCTTTCTTCCAAGACCTTTTCCCCTGCACCTGCCTGAGCTGCTCCAGGAGCTGCTTTCTCATTGTGAGAAGATGCCATGACTTGGTGTGCTCTTCCTCATCGCAAGGATTCTGTACCGGGAATTGGGTCAGGTTCTACCATGGCTCCAGCAACTGTCCTTGGAGAATGAAAGCTTCCTCAATAGGCTTGAGCACCTGGGCACCCTTTCCCTCACCTCACCTGGGGAGAAGAGGTTCTCCTGAAAGTGATGAACAGGAGGGTACTGGCCAACGAAGGGTCAGCGTGGCAAACTGATAACGGCTGGCACTATCTGTGCATATGGCCTCTTCATCCTTAGCTCTTGTGGCCCTACCTTTCCAGCCTGCTGTCTGCCCAGATGCCCACAGAAGAGGGTGGGACCCAAGAGTGGTGTTAGAGAGTCTATTCCAACTGAACTGCAACTGCAGGCTTGTCTCCGCTTACCTGAATGACAACAATTGTCCTCATGGCCTTTTCGGGGACTCCTGCAGGTGAACCTACACGTGGAGAATGCGCGGAATGTGGGCCTTGGATCCTGGACAGGGGCTAAGGAAGGGCATGCATTAGTCCTTGGGGCTGTCAACCCCAGATCCCAGGCAGGAGATGCCAAGGAGGGTGATGCGGGGTTTGCTCAAGCCTAGTCCTGGGACTGAGGGGATACTAAAGAGACCACTGACTGGGTTAATGCCCCGGACCCCAACGCCCATGGAAACTGTCACTCTTGCTCCAATCAGCGCAGGCTCCAGCGCCTGCAAGGAGGAGGTAGTTGGACCCAAAGCGGCAAAGCACGCCAGGGAGCACAAAGCGTTAGGTCGTCCCGCCGGCCTCTCAGGGTTCCCTACACTCCGCGTAGCCTCAAGCATCTGCCATACGGGCCGCGCGGTGGCGGCAGAGCGCGCGGCCCAGGCCCACTCACCCGGCACTCACAGGGTCACATGGCACTGGGCGACG